TTCAGCATTTTCCAAACTTCACATGGTAACTCGTTACTTTTTTTCTACAGCCTTCCGCTATGATTCTTTTTTCCTTGAAGTCTATACTGTGTCCTCATTTGCTGAATAAGGACAATATTACTAGTTAGGTGAGAAAACCTGAGAGGTGGAGTTTTTATGAATAATTTTAAGTATAAATAATGCACTTAACAAGTGGAGTAGAAGAATACAGCAGAAAGCGTACACCTGAGTGCAGGAAAACAGGAGGACTGTGGTGTGTGGAGTGACACTGTTGGAATATTGTGGGCCTGTGCTGTCCAGTACAGTAACCATTAGATTTGTATGGAAACATGGTTCTTGCATCTGAGAAACACAATTTTTTTTAACTTGAATTTTAAAACTGATACCCAATTTAGTGTTTGTTTTGAACCACTTTCTTATGAACAGCTTGCGTTTGTGAACCTACTTTTCAGAAGTGTAAAATATAGAGCAGATTTATGAAGGCTTAGTATGAAAAAAGAAAATACTTCAGTTTTTTATATTGTTCGTGTTTAAATGGTAAAACTAATTTTACCTGCTTTTACTTTTTTTATTGTGGCTACTAGAAAATAAACCTAGATATAGATTTCCCCGTGCTATCCAAAAGTAGTGCATTCCTGTGAAACTTCTCATGAAAGTGAAGTGGTATCAAGTGAACTTTCAGATAACAGGGCAAACCTGTATCGAACTTGGGTTTTATTTCTTTTGGACAGCAGTACTAGGCACTGGGCTGCCAGTAAAATGTCTCAAGTGGCAGCAGTATGGATGGGCTTGGGTTTAACTATAGTGTGGTCTTTAGGTAAGTGTTGTTTCATCCCCATTGTCCAAATAAGGCAGCTTGCCCCAGATGGGGTGGGTAGTAATGGGGATAGCCAGGATTCTAACCTTGGCTCCAGTGGTTCTAGTAAGGAACGCTGAACCACTGCTCTATATATGTACTGCCTGCTCTTCTTTCCTCTTCCTCCTCTCTGATCAGTGGGACTTAACATACTGCAATACGTGGAAAACAGTTTTTGATAATTCAGCTGCTGCATTGGATCAGAGGTGGTGGCATCTAGGTTGAAATATTTGAGGATAGGCCATGTCTTATTTTTATTACTGGTGCTTAGCACAGTCCCTAGCTAGCTAGCTGCTTTTTAAAGATTTATTTGTTTATTTTTGGGGTGGGGGGAGGGGGGCAGGGAGAAAGGGAAAGAGAATCTTAAGCAGACTCCATGGTCAGCAGCAGAGCCCAGCACGGGACTGGATCTCATGACCCTGAGATCACAACCTGAGCCGAAACCAAGAGTTGGACACACAACCTACTGAGCCACCCAGGCACCCCTAGCTAGCTAGCTTACTTAATTACTTACTTTACTTCTACATTAGTAATAGCTAAAGGGTTTTTTGTTTTGTTTTGTGTTTTTAGTTTTTTTTTTTTAAAGATTTTATTTGATTGAGAGAGAGCAAGAGAGGGTACAGAGGGAGAGGGAGAAGCGGACTCCCTGCTGAGGAGATAGCCCGACGCAGGGCTGCATCCCAGGACCCTGAGATCATGACCTAAGCTGTGAAGGCAAGACGCGTAACTGACTGAGCCACCCAGGTGCATCCCAATAGCTAAAGGTTTAAAATATACTTCTTGATGATCCATTTTGATCAGCTAATTTTTTTTTTTAAGATTTTATTTATTTGAGAGAGCTCGAGCAGGGGGGAGGGGCAGAGGGAGAAGGAGAAGCAGACTCCCCACTGGGCAGAAAACCCCACATGGGATCAATCCCAGGACCCCGGGATAATGACCTGAGCTAAAGGCAGACACTTAACTGACTGAGCCACCTAGGTACCCTGGTCAGCCTATTTTAATTACTGCTTCTTCCCTCTTCATTAATATCTCTAGTAGCCATGAGCATGCATTTTTCTCCAGTATTACTATAGATAGGGGTCAAGAAATTACCACTCAGCAGCTGTTTTTATATGGCTTGTGAGCCCAAAATGGTTTTTACACGGGGGGAAGAGATACGTAGCAGAACCTTGGTCTCATTAAATCAAATAGCTGTGTAATGAAGGTGAGGATGTAGGGGTGCTTGCCCTTTGTTGTTGTCCTCCAAAAAATGGAGAGACCATATCGCTGTAAGCTTGCCTCAAGAGCTAAAAATGTGAAGATTTCCAAACTGGTCCTTTTTGAGTTTTTAACATAGTAAAAATCAGGGCCTGTGGAGTCAAATTATACCACTGAGCAGATGAACACATACACTTCATTTTCCTAATGTGTAGAAAGGGTTATGATAGTGTTAACCTCAGGATTGTGTGAGGATTGAATGGTATGTATAGTTAAAGCATTTGGAACAGTATCTGGAACTTAAATCCTCAGTAAGGTAAGCTGTTGTATCCAATTTTGCAGATGAGACAGCTTTCCAAGGTTGCACAGCTGTTAATAGTGGAATGAAGACTAAAAATTGGGTTTCCTTTTAGCAGTACCTTGAATTTCTGCATAGTCACTTAAATTGTAGCTAGATCGATTTAATGCATCCAGACTATAGTTGTTCTGTCTAGGCTAAAACTGCATTTCTTTGAGTGGTCGTAAAGTTTTTTCTTAAAATCAAGATACGCTTTGGCCATGTTAATTCCCTAATAGGTTGGTTGGTTGTCAACACTGTATATGAGTGTTACTGTCTGGCACATCATTAATGAACCTTTTATTGGTTTCTACGTATCTTTGTACAGAACATCTTAAGCTGTCTTTCAGGGGATGCATTGTGTGTATTGCCTACCTTGTACTGTTCCTAAGAAGATTGTTCTAGGGACGCCTGGGTGGCTCAGTCGGTTGGGCATCTGCCTTGGGCTCAGGTTGTGATCCCAGGGTCCTGGGATGGAGCCCGCTTCTCCCTTTCCCCCTGCTTGTGTTCTCTCACTATCTCAAATAAAAATCTTAAAAAAAAAAAAAAAGATTGTTCTAACTACTAAAGAGTAAATTTTCTAATTCCTTTTATGACCTTAAAGTAAAATTTATAGATAACTATAGTTGTGTTTCTTTTTATTGTAGCGTATAGTGTATATGTACATAGCTGTTTGCAACTATATTAGAAGACATGGATAGTGCTACCACAGAGACCAACTGATAAAAGAAATGATGTGTTGGCTCCTCAGATACACAAGTGGCATTATCAATAAATGAAAATTTCTCTCCGTGGAAGTTGCATTTTTAGTAAATTTAATGCCTATTAAAACTGTAAAATACCAGATTAAAAACTCAAGTTATAATAAATGTACTTAAGTGAAAGTCCACTAGGATACCAAATAATTCTTTACCTAGTCCTCCAGCAAGCCTGATATCCTTCACCCCAATTATGGCAAATAGGGCCCATCTTTGGAACAACTTTAAATGGCCTGTGGTGGTCAGCACTGCCCCTGTTGAGAGTTCCTGTTCTAGACTTTACCCACCTTTCCTCCTCTGCCAGATTTTTGTTGTACTTCTCCTTAGGGCCCCAGGGTTTGGAATTCAATCCCAGTGTTGGAGATGAGAATTTAATAGTGATGGCTATGAACTTTGTGGGATGCCTGTGGACCTATTTGACAGATAGCCATTATGGCAACCATTAATTCCCTAGGTTTCCTAGTATGTAACTAACTTGTAAAGGTCAGTTTTTAATTAGTTGCCTTGGGTAGCTTTTGCAGTATTCTGGGTGTTTGTAGATTTTTCTTTTGAACATTTAAAATTCTGTTCTCATAAACGAAATGTCCTCATGTTATGATAATCCAAGCTATGTGGATTCTTTGGCGCATTTGCTGCTCCACAGTTCAGTAAGGAGCCAACAGTCAGTAAGGCAGTCAGTGTAGTTCATTGCAACCTTTGTTCCTTCTGTCATTAAACATTAGAACTCTTACTGAGCCCATTCTCTCTCTGACCTACTGGACAAAATGAAGAGGGCGGAGGTTGAAAAAGGTCTGGAAAATGGTTTCTCCTCCTGTGGTTTTTGCTTATATAGTATCATCATCTTAACCCTAATGTCCTAGCTAAAATGCGCTCATTTTCCCATTCCATTTTTACCTCAAGAAAGAGAATCCTCAAATACATTCCCTCACACATAGCGCCTTTTAATTTAGGCTTCCATCAGTCCTGGTCTGGGCTTCTAGAGTAGTTATTAGAACTAACTGGGCTCCTCTTGTATTGAAATTTCCCTAATAGCCACTAAATTTTAACATCTGATGTTATGCCATATTTGCTCAAAAGCCTTTGGTACCTCCTCTGCCTATGTGGTGATCGTTTAGCCCCTATTCTTTATCCTCCCCCACCCACAACCATATTCCTCATGCTTCAGCCAGTTTGGAGTCTGCTTGCATTGAATTTGCTAGTTCCTGCTTGACCCAGGTCTGTGACCTCCTTTTCTGTCTACCTCTGGAACATCTTTCTCATTTTCCAGTAAACTTCTTTAAGACTTAAGGCAAATGTTTCCTCCTTTAACACTACTTTTAAAGTTGTAAAACATATTTTCAACCATATTTCTTTCGTACAGTTTGACTAGTAATTTAATGATTGCTGTAAAATGGTTTCTGATACGAAGTGAAGGGGGGGGTGTGTGTGCTAGTAGGAAACTGTCTCATCTTCACCTCCTTAGTTCTCCAGTACAATGCTTGTTGCCACATGGATGGAGCAAGAGTGGTGTATGCTGGAAAGTTGTTAATGTTTGGTAGGATCATAAGGAGTGATAGTTGCTAGTCACTTAAACCCTCTTAATAGCCTTAATGGCTTAGTAGGTCACAGACTTTTTTTTTAATCTTTCTGCAGGTAGTGAGGTTTACAACTGTTGGCAACTGCTTCCTCAAGAAAAACGAAACAAAAACTAGGTTTCCTCTTTGTATTTCCTGGTGGCTGGTTGGTAGTCAGAAAGTCTTTAACAATAGGAAAAATGGGGAAATGCACAAAGAACCACACTTATTACTCTTAACGTTGGCAACATGAAATGTATTCCATTTACTGACTTGTTCAACTTGGTTCTGTCTTGCAGGAATGACACCAAGGAAGATGTATTTGTACACCAGGTGAGTGCTCTGTGAATGTTTACAGTCCTAGTTTTAAGGGATGTGAGAAGAAAGAAAGGGGTGGATGTTTTCTCAACTATTGTTCCTTGCAAAAAGGTTATTATATCCAACCAGCAAACAATTTAGCTCCCTCAGGAACAGTGGGAGCATGCTTAAATGTATACATTGAAACATTATATTGGCGGTTTACTTAATTAAAACAGGTGTTTCAAATGGGTATTTTGTTAATAGCTCTAGCTTTTTTAAATGAGGAAATGTGCTCAACTCACCAAATTTTGAAACCCAATTTCAGAGGAAGAAAAAAATCTCCATTAACCTAAACTTGAACTAATTTTGCTATAAATACACAGAAACTTTGGTGGGGTGTTTTTCAAACACTGTCAGGTTTTACCTCTCTGGTAAGGACAAATCACAATAATCGGGGAAAATAGGACTCAGCTGCAAAACATATAAATTTGAAGTGAATGCTAGAACACCAGCAAAGTTAGCCTATGTCCTTCTGTTTATTCTAAAGCACTTTGAATGGGAATTATCTTTGAGAATTTTGGTTGGCTTGGAAAATTTATAAATCCTCACTAGTTTAGGTTTGGGTGAAAAGGCAATGTGACAAAGTTGGTAATTACTCATTAAATAATTAGATCGGCTTCAGTGTTTTAAGAGGAAAAAACTAACATGGGATTAGGTGCCATAATGCTGAACTTCACAAGTGCATTTAAGAAAAATATTTTGGAAAGTGAGCATTAAGCATTACTTTTATTAAAGCAAGCCACTACTGTGTAAACACTGATATCTCAAACTTAAGTATCTCATGGGCTCCACTGGACTTCATTATCCTCACAGGTGTGCATTGGATAGGAAGAACACAGTTGTCTATGTGTAGTTGTGTGCACTGCAGTTTTTTCACCAAGACTGTTGTAATATTATCTTATCTTGAAAATCACTCTCAGAACTTCTTAACCACTTTTTTGTACTTTTTATCCAGACGTCAAAAGATACAGTTTTCACACTCACACTGTTATTCAGGCAGGTGTGAGCTTGGATGGCAGCATACTTTTCTTAGGAAGGTCTATCTGAGGTTGGTGCTTTGTCGCTTTCTGAGGTGTCCTATATATACAGCATTCATTGGCAATCAAGGGAGCCAGATCAATTTCTAGTATGTCCAAAACCTTATCAGAAAATCCCAGGGTAAAATATATAAGTATGGAAACATATAAATTCTAAACGTATGGACACCTGGCTGACTCAGTAGGAAGAGTGTGAGACTCTTGATCTCGTGGTCATGGGTTTAAGCCCCATGTTGGGTTGTATAGATTACTTTTTTAAAAAAAAGACCTTGAAAAAATTAAATCCTAAATATAAATATAGGACTGCTCAATGTTATTTTTAAAACAAATGTTTTATAAAATTGAATGCCAACTCCTTTGTGTTCCTTACTTCTGCATGTTCAAAGGAATATGCACATTTAGGAACAAGAGACAGCAAGGCAGGTCAGTCTTGTTATTTGTCAGCAGCACAAAAAGGTTGGGGAGATTGGGGTGTTCTGAAGATGCTGACCAAAATATGTTTTGAGATTGTAATTATCCATACTTCTGCTATCCCCTATGACTGCAGGTAATTGAGAGTTGGCTATATATGGAAGGTATGAAAACTTTGTGACAGTTTAGATGACAGATGAGATCAATTATTTGGCTGAATGCATGTCACCCACTTGGTACTGACCCACAGGTGTCACCAATATGCTTTCCTCTTTATTTTGGAAGTGGTTCAACATTTAGTTGTTTCTTGGGACTTTGGATGCTCAGGTCTTAGTGTATCAAGGAGACTGCAGTTCTGGGCAACTTAGCTTAATTGGCTTCAGCTTTGTTGGTTGTCCTGCCTCCTATGGAATGGAAATGCATGAGTGATCCTGTAATGGATACTGCTGTGATGTAGTAGAATGAACATGGGATTTGGAGTCCCAAGACCTGGATTTAGAAAAGTCCATATTGTGCCACTTAAGCTGTGTGACCTTGGGCAAGTCACGTAACTTTTAAAAGCCTGTTTATTTGTAAAAAAGGAGTAATAATACCTCACATCATTGTCATAATGAGATTGATTCGGTAATGCATGAAAGAACTTTATTGTATTACACCCAAACGTGAGGTGTTATTCTTCCCCTTTTACTTAGTTGTAGCAGTCTAGAGAACAAGTAACAATGTGAGATTTATTGTATTCTGAGGAGGTAATAACCGACTATCCCATGTGGCCAGATAATGTAAAGAGTGGCGCATAGTCAATACATGTGAATTGCATTTCCACTGAAGTATTATCACAGACCAGTTGGAAGGGATTTTGGTTGACATTTGTAATTGAGTTTGATATGGTTAACACAGGGACAAAGTTGGTTTGGTCAACTTTGAAGCATGCAAAACTAAACTCGCCTGTCATCTAAACTGGCCCTGTGTGGGGCTAGCTTCTATTAAGTGCAGTCTTTGGGGGATAGATGGATATCCTCATTTTGTTTAAAGCTACATATGATGCTTTTGCAAAAGGCATTTTTAAAAAATACATATTGTTGTATCTTGAGTGTTAAATTACTTGTTTTAGTTTGGAAAATGCTGGGGCCTTGTAAGATTAGAGCATTTTGGTTGAGGTTGGGGGTAGCATTGGTCCCTGTTTTCCTAAATTTATTGACGGTTTGGTCTTATTTAAAGCTAATTTTAAGTGTATATCCAAGCTAAAATAATATTGACTCTGGTACATTTTGAATGAAAAAGCACATTATTCTCCCCTGTTAATCTATTTTTGGAATGTGATATTACTAGACTGCCATAAAGAAGAATAACCCCAGGAAGTACCTTCGCAGTGTAGGAGATGGAGAGACTGTGGAGTTTGATGTTGTTGAAGGAGAAAAGGTGAGGATGCTTTTTGTGTAAAGGTTTGACTTCAGTATGGAAATATTTTGGAGATCTCATCCATTAGGATGGTGGCTCTAATGTGGATGGATGGGTCAGGTGACCACATGAACACAGGTGCATCAAGCCTAATGTGCTGGCTGCAGTTAGAGGGCAATCTCTTCAGAACAGTGAGGAACTGATATTTAATCATTTCTATGCACCCCTGGCCACATAGACCCTTTTTTATTTGTTTTGTGTAAATTTTATTAAGTGTACTTAATTCTGTTGTCACTGTCAATATATGATGGCTTTTGTAGGGTGCGGAGGCAGCAAATGTGACAGGCCCTGGTGGAGTTCCAGTGCAAGGCAGTAAATATGCAGCAGACCGTAACCATTATAGACGCTATCCACGTCGCAGGGGTCCTCCACGCAATTACCAGCAGAATTACCAGAATAGTGAGAGTGGGGAAAAGAACGAGGGATCGGAAAGTGCTCCCGAAGGCCAGGCCCAACAGCGCCGGCCCTACCGCAGGCGACGGTTCCCACCTTACTACATGCGGAGACCCTATGGGCGTCGACCACAGTATTCCAACCCTCCTGTGCAGGGAGAAGTGATGGAAGTAAGTTTTCACCAAAAAGTAAAAGAATCAACAGTATGTGATAACTTTAAATAGGACTGCATTTTAAGCATTTTCTGGGTGTCTTCCCCTACATTGGAGCAATTAATCTAATGAGAAGCATTTTTTGATTTCTGAAAGATTATAGTATAATTATAGTTACTGGATGATTGGTTTATTTATTTTTTTAACTCCTGTATGCAGACTTTGGATTTGTCTGATTGGGTTTTTACTGTTACTGATTCAGTCAGCTTGATTGTCTTTTCAGGGTGCTGACAACCAGGGTGCAGGAGAACAAGGTAGACCAGTGAGACAGAATATGTATCGGGGTTATAGACCACGATTCCGCAGGTATGGTTTGTATTAAATTTCTTAAGCATATGTTAGGACTCAGCAGCATCATGCTTCTCTTGTAGCCTTTGGAGTCATTTTATTTGCTAACACTTAACATTTTCTTTTGTTAGATGCCAAAGAGGTGAATCCGAAGTCAGTTATCTTTGAGAATGTGTTCTTTGCTGGTACTGGTTAAAAACAGCTTGTATAGATGAGGTCTACTTTATATACAGTTGTGGGTTCTCCCCCCGCCCCCCCCTCAATGAGGTTATGGAATTTCAGTTTTTCTGTCTTGAACAGGTAAGAGAATAGTTAAACCTGTGTTATATGTTAAAGACCTGCTTCATTGGGAGGGAGAAAGGTAAAGGTAAGCATTGCCTTTAAAGCATTAGGAGTATGTGAATTGCACGTTAATCATAAATGAAGAATCTATAGTGTCACCTCTGAGATGGCATAATTTTCCATTAATCACTTCTCAGTTTAGGTTTTTTTGGTCACCCTTAAGTTGCAGAATGAAATCACTCCAATAAAGTAGTAACTAGAGAAGAGTTACATGAGCCAGACGTGTTTAGTATATAAATGTTTGGTATATTTGAGGCAATATATACCTAGTCTGTCCCACAGTGGATGGATATAATGGTGTTAACAGCTGTTTCTTTTAGGAGTCTTTTTATTAAAGCATTGAGTCTCCAGATGTAATCCCTAAAACTAATGGGTTATATACTTAAGGCAATACAGTAATAATTCTTTTAACTGATGATCACTTATGTAACAGCTTTAAATGTACAGACCCAAATAAGTTTTAAGAAATTCCGTACTGTAAAAGTATCCGCAATACAATATAGAAGTCTTCAAAATACATTGTGACTTTGTAAGAGAGGTTTCTGAACACACACACCAAAATACTCAGTATTTTGAATACTGTTCAGAATACTTCAAGAAAGGTGGAGCAGTGAAGCTTTAGGAACTAGGAACCCAGCTGAGATTGCACTATACATCAGTATATATGCATTGAGAGTTTTGCAGTAGCCAGTGTCTATGATTTATTCTTTTCTCGTTTCCAGTGATGTGTGTTGTGTCCTGGGTTTTTGTTTCATGAAAATGGCCTGGAGTTCCAGCTCTGGTTCACTAAAATCTCCACGAGGAGATTGTGTTAGCCATGTGCTGGATGTTGGAGATCAGTGGGGTTTTCCCTGTTGAGTGGGGAAGATTATTTTTGATGCTGACAGATGAGCTTTGTTGATCCTGAACTGAACTATTGTTGAAACTAGTTTTAAACCTAGACAAAGATACCTTGTTGAAACATTGCAAGTAATATAACTATCATTTTTACAGTAATCAGTGTTTTTAAAATTGGTCTAAAATAGGCTCTCATGGCAGTCTATACATAACATCCATGGGTACCAACAGCAGAAAATTTGGTTTACCTTTGTGTTACACTCTAAAGCTGCTTACATTTTTGGCCTAGCTTCATTGGTGTCTTTAAAAGCATGGGAGTTTTTGTTGTTGAGTGCCTCGGTTTTGTTGTTTGCCTTTTAAGTTAGACGTAATAGTCTCATTTGAATGGATAGGCAAGTTGACAGTGCTAGATACAAAGTAAAAGGGAGGAGTGGTGTTAAAGTATGTTTATTTGAGAAATTGGACATATTCATAGGCTGAAAAATGGCAGCAGAAGACAGTTGGTAGAAAGTGACTGCTTAGAATTAGAATTATCTTCAGATAGGATTTTGTCCATAAGTGAGTGGTGGACCATTTGCTAAGAACTCTGGGTGTGTTGTGTGTAAGAAGCCAGAGTATGTGGGCACTGGTGTGCTAGTGGAGTCAGAAGGAGAGGGAGAGGTGGTAAGAGAAGAGGTGTGGGGAATTTGGGACAAAGATGTGAAATGATGTCTAGAAGAGAAAGGGGTAATAAAGTAATAGAATAATGGTTACAAGGTCCACCCAGCATGATTGTATTTTCTAGCCATTTTTGAGCAACAGGCTCAGATTGAGCAGGGTTGAATTTGTCTAGCATTTGTTGATCCAAATGAAGATTCTGGGGTTGGGATTGGTCATAATTAATGGTGGGCTTTATACTTGGGTAAGAAGGGAGAAAAATATTAATGGAGAATGGGAGATAGAGTAAGTGATAAGGATCACTGGGTTATAAGCCCTAATGGAAATAAAGAATGGGAGAACAGGAAGGAATTAAACTAGGAGAATAGGAAAAGGAGTATTTGGAGAGTGCAATGCTTAAAATGGGGAGAACCCAGATAGAAAACAACTGGATAGGAGGTAAAGAATTTAAATGATCATGTTATTTGGGGTTGTCCGGATAACTACAACAGGAGAAGGATAGTAAATGGAACGTAAGATTTGAAAAGCTCAGAGTTTTAAAAAGAAAGGGGAAAATTGACTTTGAAGCAACAATGATGGGGTGAAGCAGCCACACTTGTCAGGGGAAAGCCAGAAGAGTTTTGCCAAAGACTGGCTATGAGGTCCCAAAACTAGGGAAAGGGTTTCAGGAAAGGGGGAGGGGAATTAGTTGGAGCCCATGATGACCAATAGGTATAAAAGGCATGCTACTAATCTTGATGTTTCTGGGGTGCTGTGATGGAAGAAAGGCCAAGAAAACCTCTGCTTTCTGACATAGTCACCAGCAAAAGCAATTCTAATCTTCCCTTGATGATAGAAATCTTGATACTTTTCTTTGGTCCTGATATCTTTAATTTCAGGCTATTGAACATAATATTGCTAGAATGTAAATTTGAACTTTTTTCCAAGTGTACAACTCTGGATTTTAGTATTCACACAATTATGTAACCATTACCACCATCAGATGTTTTCACTCCTTCCCCCGTCCTGAGCCAGGAAAATACCCTTGTGTCCATTAACAGTTACTCATTTCCCTGTACCCCAGCCCCTGGCTACTACCAGTCTGCCTTTTCATGGATAAATCAGGGTCCACTGCATGGATGTCCTATTTTGTTTCTTCTTTAGTAAGCTAATGGGCACTTGGATTGTACATTTTTGTTATTGGTAATCATGAAATGGATACTTTCTTGGGTGTATAGACCTCTGAGTGGAATTGCTGGGTCACACACATAGTGACTCTTTAATATTTTGAGGAATTGCTGGGCTGTTTTCCAAAGCTGCTGCACTGTTGCTACCTTCCCACCAGCAACATATAAGGGTTCCAATTTATCCACATCCTCACCAACACTGGTGGTTTTCTGATCTTTTGATTATGGCCATCTTGGTGTGGGTATGAAGTGGTCTGTTTTGAATTGCATTTCCTTAATGACCAATGGTTGCTGTGTGTTTTGATTTATATAGAAAGAGCATCTTTTCTTTGTTTTTTGATATCCTGCCTTTTTAGCAAGTGCTCATCTATCTGTAGAGGATTAGTAGCACTTGTTCCCAAACCTGGTTACCATGGAGCCCATTTAAAATGCCATCAAAGTGTCTGGTGGTGTGCCACTTCTAGTAGTTTCAGGATTAATTTTGTAATAGTTACACTGTGAATAAAAGTTGGCTAGTTCATTAAAACCAGTTTTAAATGCCCATCTTCTAATTTACACTTCCAAATCCTTGCACAGTCATCCCATTCGCTTTGTGAAAAGGAACCAAGTTTTGGAAAACAGGCCAGATACAGTGTTTAGTTGACTGACCCAAGTGAGAGGAGAGCGTTGGTGGGTGGGTTAAAGAATGAAGGTTTTATTTATCGTTTGAACTTTGCACACTGTTCATTCCAGGGGTCCTCCTCGCCAAAGACAGCCTAGAGAGGATGGCAATGAGGAAGATAAGGAAAATCAAGGAGATGAGACCCAAGGTCAGCAGCCACCTCAACGTCGGTACCGCCGCAACTTCAATTACCGACGCAGACGCCCAGAAAACCCTAAACCACAAGATGGCAAAGAGACAAAAGCAGCCGATCCACCAGCTGAGAATTCGTCCGCTCCCGAGGCTGAGCAGGGCGGGGCTGAGTAAATGCCGGCTTACCATCTCTACCATCATCCGGGTGAGTAGGTGTTAGGTGCCCTTCTGGCTTCCGAGCAGTCATGGGTGGTGAAAAATCCCAGTTCATCAGGTAAGATGAGCCATTGTTATTTAGGATGTCTTTCAGCCACAGTGCTCTTCAAATTACCTAGATACTCAGTTTGGGTCATGGCAAGTATCAGAGCCTTCTGTCAACTGTTCTGAATGAAGTCTGTGATTTCACCAGTAAGCTGAGGAAAGTCTTGCTATAACTTTACCCTAAGAAGGATGATGACTACATTGTGTTTATTTTCAAAAAGAGGTGGGATAGCTTACCAGAATTAATATCCTGCGTGGTAATGAGCAGTATAGTCTCTTTGGGGGAAAGTGGCAGTTTTGACATTATACCAGTTCTAAAAGGAGTCCTTTGCATTCAGTTTTTTACTTGATACTGAGAAGCATGTAATTGTCTCTGTTTGGCTTTGGAATTGTCATTTCCAGCCAGTGATGATACTTTTGGTTTCTTCCCCTCTATTTTCTGGGTGGCAAAAGGTCATCCAGAACCTGACAGTAGCCGTTCCTGTCACAGAGCATTGTCCACCCCTGTTGGATCAGTGTCTTGGGATAAAGAAATAGATTTGTTAATACCTTCCCTACTTAGCTGATGTGATTTGGAGCAATTTGGTGTATACCAAGAACATTGTAGTCAATTGTGCAAGGTAATCTTAAATTTATTTTAATTTTTAATTTTTTTTTTCAGTTTAGTCATCCAACACGAAGAAATGAAGATGAAATTCCAGCAATAAGAAATGAACAAAAGATTGGAGCTGAAGACCTTAAGTGCTTGCTTTTTGCCCACTGACCAGATAAATAGAACTATCTGCATTATCTATGCAGCATGGGGTTTTTATTATTTTTACCTAAAGACGTCTCTTTTTGGTAATGACAAACGTGTTTTTTAAAAAAAAAAAAACCTGGTTTTTCTCAATACACCTTTAAAGGTTTTTAAATTGTTTCATATCTGGTCAAGTTGAGATTTTTAAGAACCTCATTTTTAATTTGTAATAAAAAGTTTACAACTTGATTTTTTCAAAAAAATCAACAAACGGCAAGCACCCGTTAATAAAGGTCTTAAATAATTGTCTTTGTGTATATTTCTGTCTTAATTTTAGTTTGTAAGTCCTTAGGTAGCCATAGGACCCTTAGCTTAAACCTAGCTGCAAATAGATGGTACTCACTGGATTACTTGGAAATTTCCTTAAAATGTGTATTTAAGTGACATACCTGTGGGCTCATACTAAACATCAGAAAACATTTACTATGATAATTTGGCCATTTTCCTTTTCCTAAGTTGTTTTTACTGAGGGACAGTGGTAAAGGGGAGAGTGCATGCTCTAGCGTGCACTAATTGGATTCTAATCCCTGCAAGCCACTTATTTCTGTCCTTGTGGAAGAGTTACTTCAGCCTGCCACAGAGCCTTGTGCTCAGTAAACACTCACTCTGATAACAAATGTAATACATAAAGGAAGACTTCTGCTAAACAATATGGAGGTCAGTGAAAATAATTTTGTGGTCTCCACTCCCTTCTAACCTAAACCTGTTCTGGTTATTCTTTTTTTTTTTTTTAAGATTTTATTTTTTGACAGAGACAGCGAGAGAGGGAACACAAGCAGGGGGAGTGGGAGAGGGAGAAGCAGGCCTCCCGCCGAGCAGGGAGCCCGATGTGGCGCTGGATCCCAGGACCCTGGGATCATGACCTGCGCCGAAGGCAGACGCTTAACGACTGAGCCACCCAGGTGCCCCTGTTCTGGTTATTCTTAGACGATGTCTTGCTCGGTGTTCATTTGGGATCATCCTGGTCAGTTTTTTGGGCCCAGGGTGAAAAAGTTGCTGGGGATTTAGAGGTGCTACTTCCAGGAGTCTTGCAGTTCTGTGTAAATCCAGTTGGTGGTGCCCCTTTCCAGAGTGTGCTCAGAATTCACAACCAAAATTGCATTGCGCTGGTATATTTTTTATAATTACATACCTAGGATATGTATGTATCATGGAAATAATATTGGTTAAATATCCAATACAGGTATTCCTTACTTGGCAAAATTTTGCATTATACCATACCACTTTCCTTTTAGGAAAGATGACATTGCTTTTGCTAACCAAGAAATCTGACAAGAATTTTCACTTTTATGAAAATAGCATTTGGTGTTTGTTTTGCTGCAGTGAACTATATACAGAGGGCAATGCACTGAGCAGCAGGAGTGGGGCCACCACGCTCCTTCCCTGAGAAGTAATGCTCATCAAGTCACAATAGTTTAGAACTGTGTAAGCATCTATGCTCTTTTTAAACTCAAGTACAGTGTAGTATTGGTTTCAGAAGTAGAATTCAGTGATTCATCATGTAATACCCAGTGCTCATCCCAGCAAGTCCCCTCCTTAATGCCCATCACCCATTTAGCCCACCCCCCTCCAGCAACCCTCAGTTCTGTTTTTATCTTATTTTTCTTTACCTTCTGCTATTTTCATCTACTTTGTATCTTAAATTCCACACATGTAGGACGTCATATTTGTCTTTCTCACTTCGCTTAGCATAATACACTGTAGTGTATTAGTGTATTGCCATCCACGTTGCAAATGGCAAAGTTTCGTTCTTTTTGATGGCCAAGTAATACTCTGTTATATATACATTCCATTTTATATATATATATACATGCACCACATCTTCATGTGCACATTTGGGCTCTTTTCCATAATTTGGCTGTTGATACTGCTGGTATAAACATTGGGGTACATGTATCCCTTTGGCATTTTTTTATCCTTTGGATAAGTAAAAAATACATAACATTTCATGAATTTGTCATCCTTGGGCAGTGGCCATGCTGATTTCTCTTATTCCAATTTTAGTACATGTGCTGTTGAAGCAAGCACTTTATATTGTACATCCCTTAGCAAAATATATCCCAAAGTATTAGAAAAGCCTAAGAGATTATTTTTTATTTCTGAGAACACTTAAGTTTTTCCATATAAGCTAATGGTAATTGCTTCTTCACTTTACACACATTATTCAGCTTACAGAGGGTTCCATAAGAATGCAGTACTTTTAGATAGCAGGGGAGACCTCTAATGTTAAAATGTGATTTTGAAAACCACAGCAAGGAAGATGGTTGTCTTGTGGTACAGTCTTGATGCCAGTGTTGCAAACAAAACTACCTATATGCATTTTTCATGTGTCTTGTGTTGCCCAGCATTTTATGAATGCCTTCACCATGTGTGAAGATTAGGTAGCCCGAGTCTCTAAGGCAACCCAGAGAAGCATTCTTTGTGCAGCCAGGGTGCAGTGTGAGAACCTGGCCTCGCAGTCACATGGTGCAAGCATGAGACCTGGGAGAAGTCAACACTTACACAGGGGGGAGTGTTCAGCCAAGACAGCAGCAATGGTTTCCTCATCTACTAACTGCCTTAGTTTTTGACACTTAGCTTTGAGACCAGTGCTCCTGCCTTAACAATTAAAATATCTCATCCCTTTATAAGAATATGTGGCTGTAGCAGAGTAAGCACAGGAGAGAGATAAGAAATTAGGTATTCTATATCGGGCATGTGGTATGTTCTGTTTTATTCAAATTGAACAAGGCGAGGATGCTTGTCATGGTTTCTGTTAAAAACATAGTACTAAAGGTCTAGGCAGTGCATGGAGGTTAAAATACGTAGATTAGAAAGGAAACAATGGCAGGCAGCATGGATGATACTGGTAACAAACTTGCAGTTTTAAGGATGGATAATGTGTTAGTAAGTGGCTAAAACCTGTGTATAATAGCTAGTAAAAAAATTTTATCCGTGATAGTATCAAGGAAATGTATTTAGAATGATTCCATTTTGAGGGCTCATGGCAGGCTCACTTGGTACAGTATGGAACTCATCTCAGGGTTGTGCGTTCAAGCCCCAGGTAAGGTGTTGAGATTATAATAAAAGTTTTTTTTTTAAAGCTTTGAGAGAGCATGAGCAGGGAGAGGGAGAGGGACAAGCAGACTCCCCACTGAGCGCAGAGCCCGACCTGGGGCTAAATCCCAGGACCCCTGAGATCATGACCTGGACAGTTGTTTAACTGAGCCACCCAGGTGCCCCAATTAATAATATCTTAAATACATATATATACACCATTTTCAAAATCTGGGCAGAAGCAAAACTATTGAAAGGTATTAAAAGAAAATGGAGGTTTTCATGTTAATGGTTATTGAGGCTTATCAATTCATCTATTTAAGTTCAATAAAAATAGAAAAGTTTTGGGTTTTGTTTTGGGGTTTTTTTTGTTTCGTTTTTGATGAATCTTAGAAAAGGGAGAAGAGATGTTAGAAGTTTGATGAAAGAAAAACGTAGGGGCGTCTGACTGGCTTAGTGGGGCGTGCGACTCCATCTTGGGAGTTGGAGCCCCACGTTGGGTATAGAGATTAAAGAAAAAAGAAATGTAAAATAGTTGTCTTGGAGAATGGGAAAACAAATGTACCAGGGAGATAAAATTGCCAGGAAGTAGAGCGTTGGGTTTAACCAGGACTTTGGCAGCTGTACAGAAGAAAAGTGCAAAGGTATTAAAAAAGTGGGCACAAAGTTACCGTTGACAGTAATGTTGCCAGCATCCTCTCCGCCTATCCCTGCCCAGAGTTGGATCCTGATTAGCCAAAGCCAGTAAGAGCATAACATTCTCTGCTGAGTGGAGTTGGTGCGTTCGTTTACTTGGAGTAAAAGTATTAACTTAAGGGAGCTAGAAGAAGGTGAAGTGTGGTGCACCTAGACGTGCTTAACCTTGAGATGTGCGGTGACTGGTAATGACAGAGTTTCTGGGTGATGGTCATGTGAGTGGAAGATAGGAGGAAGAAAACATTGGAAGTGAAAATGTCAAAAATAGACCATGCTGTTCAAAGGATTTCTGTGGGTGTTAAAATCGCTGCAAGTGATGGTAGAAGTAGTGGGCATGAGAAGCTGGTGCTGGTGATTCTGGAGTTAAAAATCTTCAAGAAAGTCTGCTTCGATAATAGATTTAGTCTAAAAGCATGGGCTTCAAAGAAGGTTGAGCTTTTGAGGGCTTACGAAGGGGGAAGATGGTTTAGAAGTGGCAGTAGTGTGATCTAGAGGAAACTTGGACCACCACCAGGAGCCCTGCTGCTTCTGGTGTGGGGGAGAAGAAAAGCCTCTGAAAGGGCTCCCAGGCAAGTCTGTCCTAGAGTCCGAGTAAGAAAGTGAATGCAAATGTTCACAGAAGAGGCTGGGGACAGAGTTCTAGATGGCACAGTGGAAGGTTTGGGGAGGGAGCAAACGTGGGTCAGATATGTGGAGTTAGAGCGAATTGCTGACGGGGGAGGGGGGGCGTGGAGCTTGAACATCTGGTAGGGACAGTTTAACCAGAAAGTGTCACACAGGATAGGCTTAGTGCTGAGGTTCTGCTAGTGGAAGGGTTAGTCTGACACAGGGGTTAGGTTGATTTGTTCCTGGGGAAAGAGCAATCTGATTAGGAACTTGGTCTCTCCCTTCTCTGAGTGGTACTACAGGTAGAGGAGGGCTTTATATACTTTCAGTCCAGCCACCTGTTTATAAAGCTACAAATAATTAAAAGTGAGTAGACTGTTAACTTGCACCATATTCACTTTTTTTTTTTTAAGATTTTATTTATTTGAGGGGCGTCTGGGGGGCTCAGTCATTAAGCATCTGCCTTCGGCTCAGGTCATGGTCCCAGGGTCCTGGGATCGAGCCCTGCATCGGGCTCCCTATCCGCAGGAATCCTGCTTCTCCCTCTCCCACTCCCCCTGCTTGTGTTCCCTCTCTCACTGTGTCTCTCTCTGTCAAATAAATAAAATCTTTAAAAAAAAAAATTATTTGAGAGAAAGAGCATGAGAGGGGGGAGGATCAGAGGGAGAAAAAGACTGCTGAGCAGGGAGCCCAATGTGGGACTCCATCCTAGGACTCCAGGATCATGACCTGAGCTGAAGGCAGTCAACTAACCAACTGAGCCATCCAGGTGTCTCTCATATTCACATCTTGAGTGATGTTTTAGCACCTCTTCTAGGCTTGGGCAGCTAGCTCTACCACCCTCCTGCGCTTTAATTCCTCTGGGCTGAGGAGCTGATAGGGAACCTGGATTATCTTTAAGTAAAATGATTTTC